ATTCAGGTCCCCAGGAATCAGGTTGTGCTTTCAGCTTACCATTGACACCTGTACCATCATTCACAGCACCTTATCCCTTCCTGTGCTGGTGAATGCCTTCACACAAAACTCTACAATTTACACTAAAAATGGCTCTATCATTCTTAATGCTGTTATAGGATGTAGATGTCCCTCCTGAGACATCTACCTCATCCTACGATTTCTCATCACTGTTTTAGTGCTCCAGCAGTGATATTTACAGTGGTAATGGCCACAGTACCTGTAAAGAGGACAGCACTTCTACCACAGATGTATGTCATTCTGTTCTAGGACAGCTAGGCAACAGCAGTAACAGTGTGCCTACATACGTTACAGTGAGCTAGTGAATTTTGTGAACTTGGATCAATAGAGATAAGCAGGTAGTGATCATTTTCTAATCCTTTCTCTCTCACCGTGCGCTGCAACAGAACCCAGGAGTGTTAACTGTGGCAGTATAATTGCTCTAGTAGCAGAAGAGCAAGATGGGGAAAAGATGGCAGCAAAGACTATAGAGCATCTGGTATAAGTTAAAAGGGAATACTCATTAATTCTTAAAGACTCCCCATACCAATGCCACACAAATCTACAGAGAACATTTCACCTAATCTTGGCCTTTTATGAAAAATGCCGCACAAGACAAAGCTTTAAGTCTAATCACACAGGAACGTCAAACAGATCTGATTACAGAATCACGGAAAAACTCATTCCACGGGCAGTGGGTACCTGATGGGGTGCACCACACAGTTTCTCCCGGTACAGCGTAACTGTTAAGTCCTACACAACTGCATTAGTCACATAAACCCCATCTAGATTCAGCTGCTAGCAGCCAGCCCACTTAAAGCACAGCTGTTCTCCATTGAGGCTCTCCGAACCAGGCTCTTTCTGCACTAGAAGGCCTGTGGGAAGCAGAGCGGGCAGCACTAGGAACAGATGGCATCATGCCTCGCAAAATGGCCAGCTGTACGGAGACTTGAAAGGCAGACAATCCCCTCGCATCGATTACGCAGGCACTAGTGGGATATCCTGTTGGTGATAGGAAAATATAAAGTCCAATGAAGGTTGCCAAACAGATAAGAAATAGACAAGATGAATAACTTGTTTCTAAAGTTGAAAAGAAATTATGGGAAAAAAGTGTTCAAACAGACAAACAAAACTACCACCCAAACTCCTACTGTTTGAGTCCTGGCACTCACACGGACAACTGGCTCCAAACAGTGTAACTGTATATTTCCAATCCAGAGATCTGTGATCTGTGCTTCTCCTAATTCTTTCATCAGACTCAGAACAGACCTATGTTGTAGGATGAGTCTTAACTGCAATCAGGCATAACTGAGTTAAGAAATAATTGTGGTACAAGTTTGACATGACAAGTTTGCGGGACAATAATTAGTCCCTCATATTTTACAAAATTTTAGTACAAAATCTTCTCCAGTAAGGTTTAGCATTATTAAACTGCATGACAGTATTTAGGGTAAGATAATGAAATCCAGTATTTGCTTAAGTAACTTAATCTTAGTTAATATAAAAATCTAACATAATGCTTTTGCTTTACTTTTCTGAACAACCACACTTATATTCCTTCCTTGCTTTACGATGATTCTTAGTATAATATTGCTTATCCTTTCCTTTGCCCTACATATGTTGCTAGAATTAATTGCCTTTGCTTTCTCCCTATTAAATCAACTCATACTATGAATATTTTATCAGGAGTTTTAAAAGTGAATACTTAGTCTCACATCACTGGGACATGGTTGCATCATACTGCTGTAATTTAATCAAATATACATGGAGAGATGATGTCAGATCTTTTAGGCATAAAGTTCAGAACATGTGCCAGGCTGTTAACAGAGAAACTGCCATATAGCGATGAAAGAAACACTTCAGCATGTCACTATTGACAAGTTTCTTCGATTAAAACACATTACACTCACTGCAAATGGTTGATGTAGTGAAGATTACTTTCTCCTGTTGTGAAATAATCCATCCACACAGAGGTTTCTTGCAGCCAACAAATGATCTGAAAGCAATATTTTTCAGGCAACTACACTAAAAAAAAGGTCTGGTAGGCAAGTATGCTATTTAGAAAGAACACTGCTAAACCTAAATTATCAAGAGGCAAACAGAGTAAGCAAACAACATAGCATTAGCATTAAGCCCACTGTGCTTTTAGCCAGTTCCTATCAGCACATTAAAAAAATACTCTAAAACACAAAACCTAATTCCTGATCTTACACCAGAAAAACACATTACTTTAATGTGAAGGTCAGTTGACTTACTGCATCATTCCCTGCCTTTTTAAAAAAAAACAAAAAAGCAAAAAAAAACCAACTTTGACTAATATCGATCAATCTGTAACCCAGTCCTTATCCAAATTTCAGGAGGAGAAAGAAAAATCAAAACACACATGCTAATGTTTTAAAAAAAAAAAGTCCAGATTTCAAAACAGCTTATTTAAGAAACGACAAGTATTGCACAACAACGGAGGCGTTCACATTCCGGAGCCGAACAAAAGCATTTCAGCCTTACAAAACGTTATTCCAATGTTTCAAGGTTTTTCCTCAGTCCTTCCACTATGGTTTCTGTAACATCATGGCCATCAACTTGGAAGTGAACTTTAATACCACATACAAGAACTACAAAATGTGAAGCTACCAACAGTATGCTGCCAGTGGGCTCACAGAATTGTAGAGGGCACAGTCGTGGTACCCAGTTGAAGAAATGTGAACATGTTGATGCTGCCTGCTCCCAACCAGTCTGCAGCCCCAAGCCATACTGAGGAAAGACCACTATTATTCTGACCCCATCGCCCACTGTTGTTAAGTTAATTGCTTCTGAAGCCAACCTGACAGCACGGCACTCCTGTTCTGCCTATTCCCACTGCCTAGGCACTTCTGTTTCTACCAGGCCACCATAAACCAGCTCATGGTCAAAACCCAACAATTCTTCTACTCAAAACTTTCTCAAGATGCATTGTTCCTTCTACATCAAAAATGATCCTATATGTACAAAAAGAAATAGTGCAGGACAGAACACAAGTTTTTATTTTTTTATGTTTGAGATTTAAAAAGAAAAAATACTAAAGTAAAAATGTGTATGTTCCCTTTTTGACTCTTAAAAGCGCTTTTCTGCATGTACTTATGCCACCACACCAGTATAAAGCTAAAAAAGTGCAGACACTTCCAGCTAGAAAAAACTGAGCTGACAGACCACCTAAGAAGTACGGCACAAATGGACAAACTCAACCCCACAAACAGCACAGCTATGCCCATAAGGCATTACACCCCAGTTACTAAGTCAAGCCCTATTAGCACTCTAAAACATACCTCTTCTATTTCTGACCCCAAGCTGGCATCCACGGGACCGCTCCAGCACCCCTGTGCCGTGCTCACTCACGCGTTCACATCCAAAGATAGACAGCACACAGAGATGTGCCTCCACAACTTGCACAACTGCCAGCTGCGACAAACAACTTCAGTGCTACTGAGTTGAAGTTTTGGTGTGAAAGTGTGATAGGTTCCAGGTAGAAGTTAAACAAGAGCACAGGTCTCTATTCCATTGTCACTTCATGTCTCTTTCGGCAAATTCAAGCTAGCACTCCCTTTCTCAGAGGGATAACCAAAGTACCTGAGGGCTGAGCCCTCTCTGCTCTCTTTAGTGCACCTGACTTCAAGCACTCTTGCACTTTTATAGGTGTCTGGAGATCTAGATCCCCATTTTGATATCAAAGCTAAGCAGATCTCTCTTCAAATGTTCATATAGAGAAGCAGAAACCAGGAAGTAAGCCCAGGAATCCTGCTTTGCAACACAGGATGTGCCAGTGCAGGGCCTTTGTCAGGCTTTCTTGGAAACGTTTTACTTAAATTAAAAAAAACCCAAACCTCTAGAGGAAAAAAGGCTGTAATAAATTTACTCACTTGACAGCAACTTCACATTGGCTAGACAAGTGACTACAAACGCAACACAGCTCTTCCCTCTTCGCGATCTCACACTTTTGAGTTCACGATTATAACAATTAGAGGATGTATTTAGTCATGATTCAAGTACAGACAGAAGTACCCAATTCTCTTCTGTAATGCTAGAGGTCAAAGCTCACCGGTGCCACGGCACATCTTTTTATTCCCACTGAGAAGACTTCCCCAGTAATACACAAAAAATTCCTTCCACTCCTTAAAAAGCCACCAATTTAACTTAAAACTATCTTACCAAGATACAGCACAGGTACTGGAACAGAAAAACAGCACAATGCCCAGTAATATACCAATACATCGAAACTCTTTTCTCAACTCAGTTCAGAAGTACAGAAATCAGTGGGAGCAAATGTGGACCTAACGCACTGCGTACTCCTAAGGCACTAAACCATCCAGATGTGGGTAGGCAAGCATAAAACCACAATATAAATACACCTACATTACATAGAAGTAACCATTTCGCCCCCTCAACCTGTCAGATACTTATTTCGGCATACCAAATCCTATCGAAACGAATCATTAAAGGGAGGAGGGAAGCATTACCCCCGCGGTAACCGAGTTTGTGGCAGACGCCTTTCGTACCGTATGTGTACATTTTAGACCGAAAGGCACTTGGGCAGCAGGTCAAGCGCTGCAAGCAGGGGTAATACACCTTAGGCTGCCAAGCGCTACACCCGGGAAACCCCGTCCCCGTCCCACCGCCCTCCGGTGCCACCGACTCGGCCCGCTTTCTCCAGCCGCGCCAGCGGCTCCCCCCCCCCGCCCCCCCC